GCAATTCTCCTGCCTCAGCCTCCTGAGTAGCTGGGACTACAGGCACGTGCCACCATGCCCAGCTGAATTTTTGTATTTTTAGCAGAGACGGAGTTTCACCATGTTGACCAGGATGGTCTCGATCTCTTGACCTCGTGATCCACCCGCCTCGGCCTCCCAAAGTGCTGGGATTACAGGCTTGAGCCACGGCGCCCGGCCTTAATAAGTCATTTTTGTGGGTGTGTGGTGTATATAAGGTTGATGATGAGCACAGTCTATTTTTGATCGATTTAAGAATTCCTAGAGGAGATGACATTTCTTTGGGTCTCTGAAGGATACAAGGAATAAGGGTGCTAGTGGGAGGATGATTTTTTCCAAATTTAACTTATGTTCTACATTCCTCAAAACTCACCTCCTTCTGTTTTCTTTATGCCAGCCTCATCCCCACTTTCTTTCCTTTTTGTTTTTTTGTTTTTGAGACAGAGTCTTGCTCTGTTGCCCAGGCTGGACTGCAGTGGCATAATCTCAGCTCACTGCAACCTATGCCTCCTGGGTTCAAGCAATTCTCCTGCCTCAGCCTCCTGAGTAGCTGGGATTACAGGCATGTGCCACCATGCCTGGCTAATTCTTTTTTGTATTTTTAGTAGAGACGGGGTTTTACCATACTGACCAGGCTGGTCTCAAACTCCTGACCTTGTAATCCACCTGCCTCGGCCTCCCAAAGTGCTGGGATTACAGGAGTGAGCCATCGTGCCCAGCCCACCTCATCCCCACTTTCTAAAGCTAAAACACAAGAAATAGTCCACCCTTTCCTCCCTCATCCCTACACTTCACAGCCAATTAACTGCCCAAACCTAAAAAGCCCTGACAGTTCTTCCTGAGACATATTTTACCTCCACGTCCATCTCCTCTACCATAGCCCTAGTTCCAGTTCCCATCATTTCTTCTCTAGCCCATTGCAGCAGCCTCTTTTTGACAGGGTCTCGCTCTGTCGCCCAGGCTGGAGTGCAGTGGCTCAATCATAGCTCGCTACAGCCTCGACCTCCTGGGCTCAATCAATTCTCCCAAGTAGCTGGGACTATAGGCACACACCATGGCACCCAGCTAATTTTTGTAGTGATGGGGTCTCACCATGTTCCCCAGGCTGTTTTCGAAGTCCTGGGCTCCAGCAATCCACCCACCTCAGCCTGCCGAAAACGCTGAGATGATAGAAATGAGCTACCATGCGCAGCCTGCAGCCGCCTCTTAACGGAGCTTTCTGATGTGGTCTTTCTTGACTTTAGTTCATTTTCCAGCTTCTCCAAAATAATAATCATTTTAATAAAATGATGACAGCTGGCCAGGCGTGGTGGCTTACGGCTGTAATCCCAGCAATTTGGGAGGCCAAGGTGAGTAGATTGCTTGAGCCCAGGAATTCAAGAGCAGCCTGGGCAACCTAGTGAAACCCTATCTTTACAACAAATACAACATTCAGCTGGGCATGATGGTGCACACCTGTAGTCCCAGCTGCTCAGAAGGCTGAGGTGGGAGGATCTCCTGAACCCAGGAGGTGGAAGTTGCAGAAAGCCGAGAGATCGCAGCACTGCCCTTCAGCCTGGGCAACACAGTGAGACCCTGACTCAAAAAAAAAAAAAAAAAATGCCTATAATCCCAGCACTTTGGGAGGCCAAGGCGGGTGGATCACGAGGTCAAGAGATCGAGACCATCCTGGTCAACATGGTGAAACCCCGTCTCTACTAAAAAACAAAAATTAAGCCGGGCGTGGTGGCCCACGCCTGTAATCCCAGCACTTTGGGAGGCTGAGGCGGGTGGATCACGAAGTCAAGAGATCGAGACCATCCTGGTCAACATGGTGAAACCCTGTCTCTACTAAAAAACAAAAATTAGCTGGGCATGGTGGCACAGCCTATAGTCCCAGCTACTCGGGAGAATTGCTTGAACCCAGGAGGCGGAGGCTGCGATAAGCCGAGATCGCGCCATTGCACTCCAGCCTGGGTAACGAGCAAAACTGTCTCAAAAAAAAAAAAAAGTGATGACAGCTTTGCCACTCCTGTCCTCACTGACCTCCTCTTATGTGGGTGCCGCTGAGTCTGCTCTTTGGTAGTGTCCCAACAGCTCTTTACCCTCACTTTGCCCACCTTTCCAGGTTCCTGACCTGCCCCTCCTGTCAGCCACCCCCAGTTCAGGCATATTCACCTCTCAATCATTCTCTGAACACAGCTTACCTTGTCAGGCCCAACTCCTTTGTGCCAGCCATTGTTGTCAATGTGCCTGACATGATTCTCTCTCTGCCCATTGCTTCATGGTTTTGTACCCCCATCAACTCAGTCCAGGCATCAGCTGGCAAAGCCTTCCCTGAATCTCCCAGCTGTAGGTGCCCAGAGCACTTAGACAGGCTTCTCATTTTTCTGACAAGTCCTATACATGTTTATTTACTTCTTTGTCTCTTCTACTGAGTGATAAGCTCCTTGGGAGCAACAGCTGAGTCCTATCAGCTCTGGATCCTCAACACCTGGCATGCAGTGCCTATGCAAATGTTCTTTAAAATGTTCTTGGAGGAGCTGGGGGCAGTGGCTCACGCCTGCAATCCCAGCACTTTGGGAGGCCGAGGCCGAGGCGGGCGAATTACTTGAGGTCAGGAGTTTGAGACCAGCCTGGCCAACATGGTGAAACCCTAGCTCTACCAAGAATACAAAAATGATCTGGGTGTGGTGGCGGGCACCTGTAATCCCAGCTACTTGGGAGGCTGAGGCAGGAGATTTGTTTCAACCAGGGAGGTGGAGGTTGCAGTGAGCCGAGATTGCACCCTGCACTCCAGCCTGGGCAACAAGAGCAAGACTCTGTCTCAAAACAAACAAAAAGTGTTTTTGGAGGACCAGAGGTTTTTTTCCAAGCTCAAAATGGATTCTAGCATCACATTTAAAGATGGAGAAACAAAGATCAGGGCTCTGGGGAGGAAGCTGACTTGGCTGGAGAAGATACACTGGAGTGTACATTGAGGTGGGCAAAGCAGGTGTGGATATTCACTTGTGAAATGGAGGGACAGGCTCCAGAAAGTTCAGGGACTTGCCTAAGGCCACATGGTGAGTAAGCGTCAAGGTTAAAACTCAAACCCAGTTTTCCTACCTCCCACCGTACAGTCTTCAGAACTTTTTAAAGGATAAGACCCAAATGAGAGAATGGACTTCTGTAGTGCACACTATGTGCTGGGCACCATTGCAGTTTACAAAATTTAACTTATTTAATCATTCTAATAATGCTGTTTGGTAGGTATTACCTTTCGCCCTCATTTTATAAACGAGCAAACTGAAGTACAGAGATGTTGAATAACTTGTCCAAGGTCACAGATAAGAAATAGCACTGGGCACAGTGGTTCATGCCTGTAATCCCAGCATTTTGGGAGGCTGAGGTGGGAGAATCACTTGAGACCAAGAATTCAAAATCAGCCTGGGTTACGTAGTGAGACTCTCTCTACAGAAAAAAAAATTAGCCGGGCATGGTGGCACACACCTGTAGTCGAAGCTACTCGGGAGGCTGAGGTGGGAGGATTGCTAGAGCCCAGGAGATGGAGGCTGCAGTGAGCCAAGATCATGCCACTGAACTCCAGCCTGGGCAACAGAGTGAGACCCTTTCTCAAAAAAAAAAAGAAAAAAGAAATAGGATTTGAATCCAGGTTAGACTGGGTCCAGAGGTCATTCTCATAAATCCAAGGCTATGCTGGCTGTCCATGCAAATTGTTTAATATCAGAATTATGGTTATAATGTTTCCTTTCTCCCTCCTTGTTAAATAAAATTGTAACACCTTTCCAGGGGATGAGCATCTTTCCAACAGATTTCTCATCCCTGCGCTTGTCCTCCCCCAGACTCTTCCCACTGCTCTGCACGCTTTTAGTGCTCTGCCCTGCTCCCTCTTGCAGGGTTCTCACCTGCCATTTCTTCCTCACAGAAGTGCATCAGCAGAGGGGAGCTCCAGGTGTCTCTGTCATATCAGCCTGTGGCACAGAGAATGACAGTGGTGGTCCTCAAAGCCAGGCACTTGCCGAAGATGGATATCACCGGTCTCTCAGGTAGCAGCTATTTACTTCAACCTATTTCTTACTGTCTGAACCACCCCCCACTCGTTGCCTGTGACCCAGATAGACCTCCACACTTCAAGATCCTCACCTCTTTTACTTTTAATCTGCTCCTCTTTCTGTCGACATTCTCTTCCTGATGAATGTCCACATCCGGTAGATTTCCTAGCTTGGAAGGTTCTTCAGTTGAACAAATGGGGTCTTTACATTTGGGAAGGTATCCTAAATAATATGCATGCCAGGTGCTAAGTGAAACTTCTCAAAAAGGCTGCAGGCATTTATCACTGCGCCCTTTAAAATACTCTTGGTACCACGGGATTTCTTCAGATCTGACTGGAGAAAGTTGGTCTGTTCTAATCTTGCTGGGTTTCCTTGGCCTCTCGTCCAGGCAGGCAGACTCACATACAATCAGTGTGCGTTACTGTGCAGTCCCTGAAGAACACACGGGGTGGCCATCAAAGATACGCTCCCCCTTTCCAACATGCAATTACCGTTACCTAAGGGAGGACTGTGTCATAGGCCTCTCTCCCTTTTTCTTATCTCTTTGGGGGCCCCAGATCCTTATGTCAAGGTGAACGTCTACTACGGCAGAAAGCGCATCGCCAAGAAGAAAACCCACGTGAAGAAGTGCACTTTGAACCCCGTCTTCAACGAATCTTTCATCTATGACATCCCCACTGACCTCCTGCCTGATATCAGCATCGAGTTCCTCGTCATCGACTTCGATCGCACTACTAAGAACGAGGTGGTGGGGAGGCTGATCCTGGGGGCACACAGTGTCACGGCCAGTGGTGCTGAACACTGGAAAGAGGTCTGCGAGAGCCCCCGCAAGCCTGTGACCAAGTGGCACAGTCTGAGCGAGTACTAATCCTGTTCTTCTCTCCTCTAACCACCCCCCCGGGGCCAGGCTGGGGAGGGATGTGGCGGGGAAAGAGATGACAGAGAAGTGGACTCAAAACCTCATTTTAGTTGTAGAAGAAAATTTCTTATAAAACACACTCCACAAAGAACACCCTACATGACCACAGCTGCAGATCGGTTCTTAGCAATGATGGCTTTTTCTCCTTTGCAAGGCATAAGGCACCAGAATTTCTTTCTTTCTTTCTTTCTTTTTTTTTTGAGATGGAGTTTCGCTCTTGTTGCCCAGGCTGGAGTGCAATGGCGCAATCTTGGCTCACTGCAACCTCCACCTCCCAGGTTCAAGTGATTCTCCTGCCTCAGCCTCCCAAGTATCTGGGATTACAGGCACCTGACACCACGCCTGGCTAATTTTTTGTATTTTTAGTAGAGATGGGTTTTCATCATGTTGGCCAGGCTAGTCTTGAACTCCAGACCTCAGGTGATCCACCTGCCTCAGCCTCCCAGAGGACTGGGATTATAGGTGTGAGCCACCGCATCTGGCCTCTTTTCTTTTTTAATGGGGACAAAAGAGAGGGAAAGACCCCCACAAATCTATATATAACAATGTAACCATATACTTGCATGTCTAACAAACTGAAGAAATTAGCCTAACTGCCAATATCAAGTTGCAGATTTTAATCCATGGAAATTGTGTTTTGTGCCGAATTGTATTTGCTGATTACCTGAAATTGACTTTTTTTTAACTGGGCTTCTCTGGAGAATTTCTCCCACCCCCCACCTCTGCAGAAGAAAATTTTCACTCTTATAAAACCTCATGTTTTCATCATTGCCATCTTCCGTTTTTATTACCTCTTATATCTCTGCTCTTTGACTGAGCTCAAGGTCTAGAGGTCTGTAATAAGCCAAGAAACAAAGGTGGGATGAATGAGGCAAGGTTTGCAGGAGAAAGAGGAATTGAGAAATGGGGTATTTTTGCTATCAGCCCTTCTGCTATGAAGCAGTAAAGGACAGCCTATAATTAACTAACAGACCTAACTGAAGCACAGAGAATACATCAGGCTTACGCATCCGATACATCAGATCTTGGACTCTTATCAGACTTGATGACTTCTCTAAAAGGAGCCTTGGAGACTTCAAATTCAGCTATAGGATAGCACCAGTGAACACATCCAGCTGATCCTAAAAGTTGTTTTCAGGTAAAAGGACAAGGAGAGGAGACAAGTGAGGACTGCTGTTCCCCTTTGCAGCTATCTACTGTAGTGACAGCCATTTCTTGGTTGATGGGTTGGAAGTCATCAGAGGTTTGAAGAATTACAGTGGCCTTTGTTTTTCCAGAAATGCTGACCATAGAGATGCTTTAGCGTCTTCTCAAATAGCTTAGATGTTATAATGAGGTTAGTTTTGCTTCATAAAACGGGGAACCTCAGAAATGATTCTTTCTCCTTAAATTTTTAAATAAAAATTTAGCTCTTAAAAAAAAAAAAACAGTGTGACTGAGTGAATGAAGATAAGTTGGATTCTTTCAGAGCATTCTTTTCCTCAAAACAAGCTGCATAGTTCTTGGGATTTATGTCTTTCCACGTGGTAGAGGGATGGGGGACCTACAGGGTGCAATTCTACCACCACTGGGCAATAGAGGTTGAGAGAGATTCAGCATCTTTCTGGGATTAGAATTCAAGTCTTCTTACTCCTACTGCAGCTGTGTCTCTAATGTTGAGACTTTTCAGATGGCAGAGACTCTGTAATAGGTAAACTTGGGGCCAGGCACAGTGGCTTAGGCCTGTAATCCCAGCACTTTGAAAGGCTGAACCCAGGAGTTCAAGACCAGCCTCGGCTACATGGCAAAATCCCATCTCTACCAAAAATACAAAAAATTAGCTAGGTGTGGTGGTGCATGCCTGTGGTCCCAGCTACTCAGGAGGCTGAGGTGGGAGGATCATTTGAGCCCAGAGGTAGAGGCTGCAGTGAGCCATGATCATCATACCACTGCACTCTGGCCTGGGTAACAGAGTGAGACCCTGTCTCAAAAATTGATTAATTAAAATAAAATAAAATAGCTAAACTTGGATAGGCAGTAGATATTTTTGCCCATCTGAGGAGGAACTCAGTCAAGCAGTTGCTTAACAGCTTGATCCAGGGTGTGAAAGATGAGTTGAGATTGAAGTGTCCACTTCCACACAAGAACATCACTTTGAAGCCTGCTTTGGCGAAGGGCATTGGAAAGTTGAGTCTCCATGGAGGTGGGGGTGACCTTGCTTTCAGTGTTCCTTTAGCTTTTGTGGATTTAAAACCACTCTGCTCCCCCAAATCCTTTTGTTTGGTTTCAGCCCGTGTTCTTGACAATGCAGAGCAATTCTGAGCAGCCACAAAGCCTACGCTCTGTTCTTGTCCCTGCCAACCCTCATCCTCCATAATCTGACTCACTATTTCACCATCAGCTGGGGTCACACCACTAGTCTCTGTCCTATACCCCATGAAATGTAAATACTGTATCATAAGTAGAAGAAAATAATTTTTGTTTTCTAAAAATGCATTTGGAGATAGTTTAATGTAAATCTGACAGGAGCATTCTGAAGCCCCATTAGGAAAAAGTTTTAATGGTTCCTCTTCATCGCCTTAATGTCTAAAGATCAGAAATCGCTGAGCAAACCTGCTTTTGTTTCCTTCCCAGAAACAATGCAAAACCACAGGTGGAGATAGTCTGGTCTTTGCCCTGCTGTGTGTGCCTCTGTAGCTCCTTCCGACAAATGTCTGGGAAAACAGCCTCACCCCACTCCTCTCTCTTCCCATTTCCTTGTAGCTTTATTCCTTGCATTCTTTGGGTCTACTGAGCAGTGGGTGCTGAGGTGACAGGGGAGGAACCAGTAGTTCTGTAGCCTAGGAACTGCCTCAGTGTCTTTGTCAGAAAAAGGCAAAGAGGTGGACAGTACAGGGCTCCTCCCTCCTACCTCAGGCCTGATCCCTCGTGCCCTTGACTTTGCTGTCCCAAAGTTTCTTAGCTGACTTTGGTTTTTCACATCTGTTCTTTCCAGAGCTAGCTGATAAAGAGTGGAGGAGGAATGCCTCCTCCTGAGAGTCAGTTGAAAGAAAGACAAGAGAGTCACATCTTAATTTTTGCACAAGGCATTCGTGGTCAGGAACAGGTTAGGGAATGGTCACTTCTGATTTTCCAAGAGTTGCTCCTTTTCTGCAGATATCTTGATTCCTTTGGGAAGACAAGAATTTTTCTTAATAACCAAGGTCCCTTAATGAGTTATTCCTTCTTTGGGGTCATCTCACTGGAGCACAGCCAAGATGGGCATGTTTATGGACAGTGCTCTAGATGTGAAAACAGATAGAACTGGTTTGTGGGACAGGGGCCGCTTGCTCAGGAGAGGGAATAACGCAGGTCCCTTTTCTCAGAAGACTTGTACTATGGCCATGACAGTGACATTGCCCTCACTATGATCCCTCTCCGAAGTGGTTGTCTTTCTTTACCTTGTGTCTTCTCTTGTAAAAATGAAACTCAAAAATAAAATTAATGTGTCAAATTTTGAAAAAAAAGAAAAAACTGAAAAAGCTAACATGAATTGTGTGAAATTGCATACTGCTGTAATGCTAACCTACGATATGTAATGCTATCTTGTATGTTGAATTTGTTAATGCACCACGCAAGTGCAAAATAAAGACTGATTCACATTAAATAGGCACAGTGACGTCAGCATGATTCTCTGGGAAGCTGGATGACTCTCAGTGAGGTTAACACTCAGACTCCAAAAGGATGTTCTAGGGCATGTTTTCCAAAGTGTGGTCCCCAGACCACTTGATTCAGAATCATCTAAGGGCACTTGTTTAAAAATGCAGATTCCAGCCAGGCGCGGTGGGTCGCGCCTGTAATCTCAGCACTTTGGGAGGCTGAGGTGGGCAGATCACAAGGTCAGGAGTTTGAGACCAGCCTGACCAACATGGTGAAACCCCGTCTCTACTAAAAATACAAAAAATTAGCCAGGCATGGAGGTGCATGCCTGTAATCCCAGCTACTTGGGAAGCTGAAGCAGGAGAATTGCTTAAACCCAAGAGGCGGAGGTTGCAGTGAACCGAGATTGCGCCATTGCACTCCAGCCTAGGCAATAAGAGTGAAACTCAGTCTCAATTAAAAAAAAAAAAAATGCAGATTCCAGGCTCCCATCCTAGATACTCTCATTTGGCAAGCCAGCTGGTTTGCTGCTTGTTCCAGTCTTTCTGTTTTCCTCTTGTAATTTCTGAGACCATCACTACTAGAGGGAGAGATAATGGTTTTTAGTGCTGAGAATCGATCTGCCCCTTTAATTTGAAATATTTATCCCAAAAGCTATCCTGAGACTAGCCAATTCTGTTCTCTCATTCATTCATTTATCTACTGTTTTTTCCGGTGTTTTTTTTTTTGAGGCAGAGTCTCACTCTTGCTGGAGTACAGGGGCTCAATCTCGGGTCATGTAACCTCCGTCTCCTGGGTTCAAGCGATTCTCATGCCTCAGCCTCCCAAGCAGCTGGGACTACAGGTGCAGGCCACCAGTTTGGTTAATTTTTGTATTTTTGGTAGAGATGATGGGGTTTCACCATATTGGCCAGTCTGGTCTCAAACTCCCAGCCTCAAATTATCCTCCCACCTTGACCTCCCAAAGTGCTGGGATTACAGGTATGAGCCACTGCACGCAGCCTCATTTACTATTACTATTATTTAATTTTTTTTTTTTTTTTTTTGAGACAGACTCATGCTCTATTGCCCAGGCTGGAGTGCAATGGCACAATCTCGGCTCACTGCAACCTCCGCCTCCCAGGTTCAAGCAATTCTCCCACCTCAGCCTCCTGAGTAGCTGGGATTTCAGGCATGTGCCACCACGCTAGGCTATTTTTTGTATTTTTAGTAGAGATGGGGTCTCATCATGTTGGCCAGGCTGTTCTTGAACTCCTGACTTCAGGTGATCCACCCGCCTCGGCCTCCCAAGGTGCAGGGATTGGGGCCGGGCACAGAGGCTAATGCCTGTAATCCCAGCTACTCGGGGGAAGCTTAGGCAGGAGAATCCCTTGAACCCGGGAGGCGGAGGTTGCAGTGATCTGAGATCAGGCCACTGCACTCCAGCCTGGCAACAGAACAAGACTTTGTTTCAAAAAATAAAAAAGTGCAAGATTACAGGGGGGAGCCACTGCACCCGGCCCTGCCTAGCTAATTTTTAAATTTTGTTTTGAGATAGGGATAGATGAGGGTCTCACTCTTGCCCAGGCTGGGCTTTTTTTTTTTTTTTGAGACAGAGTCTTACTCTGTTGCCCAGACTAGAGTGCAGTGGCACCATCTTGGCTAACACCAACCTCCGCTTCCTGGGTTCAAGTGATTCTTGTGCCTCAGCCTCCTGACTTGCTGGGATTACAGTCGTGCACCACTACGACCGGCTAATTTTTTTTTCTTTTTTCTTTTTTTTTTGAGATGGAGTTTCACTCTGTAGCCCAGGCTGGAGTGCAATGGCGTGATCTCGGCTCACTGCAACCTCCACCTCTCAGGTTCAAGCGATTCTCCTGCCTCAGCCTCCCAAGTAGCTGGAATTACAGGCATCTGCCACCATGCCTGGCTAATTTTTTGTATTTTTAGTAGAGATGGGTTTTCATCATATTAGGCTGGTACTGATCTCCTGACCTCGCGATTCACCTGCCTTGGCCTCCCAAAGTGCTGAGATTCCAGGCATAAGCCACTGTGCCAGGCTTTTTTTTTTTTTTAACGGAGTTTCGCTCTTGTTGCCCAGGCTGGAGTGCAATGGTGCGATCTCGGCTCACTGCAACTTCCGCCTCCCAGGTTCAAGCTATTCTAGTGCCTCAGCTTCCCAAATAGCTGGGATTATAGGCACACATCACCATGCCTGTCTAATTTTTGTATTTTTAGTAGAGACAGGGTTTCTTCATGTTGGCCAGGCTGGTCTCAAACTCTCGACCTTAGGTGATCCGCCCGCCTTGGCCTCCCAAAGTGCTGGGATTACAGGCATGAGCCACTGTGTCCCACCACAGCTGATAGTTTTTTAACCTTCCCCCTTCTAGTAGTCCCCAGTTTTTATTGTTGCCATTTTTATGTCTGTTAAGCACTCAATGTTTAGCTCCCACTTACTAGTGAGAACATGTGTTATTTGGTTTTCTGTTCCTGTGTTAATTTCCTTAGGATAATGACCTCTCATTAATTTGTTAGTCAACAAATATTTATTTATTGAGTGTCTACTATGTGCCGGGCACTAGGGATACAATACATTGATGAGCAAGAGTGCTGTTCTTGTAGAGTGTAGCAGACGACAATATAAATTAAATAATTACATTAATAAATGTATGATTACACATTGGGAAATGCTCTAAAAGAAACAGCCCAGGCATGATGGCTCATACCTATAATCCCAGCCCTTTGGGAGGCTGAGGTGGGTGGATCACCTGAGGTTGGGAGTTCGAGACCAGCCTGGCCAGCATGGAGAAACCTATCTCTACTAAAAATACAAAATTAGCCAGGTGTGGTGACACATGCCTGTAATCCCAGCTACTTGGGAGACTGTGGCAGGAGAATCACTTGAACCTGGGAGGCAGAGATTGTGGTGAGCTGAGATCACGCCATTGCACCCCAGCCTGGGTAATAAGAGCAAAACTCTGTCTAAAAAAAAAAAAAAACGGAAAGAAACACAGGTAAATGCAACACTCCAGGGTAATGTTACTGGGAGTAACAAGACCCTTGCAAGTGCTCTTTGTGGATTTCTCTACATGCCTTAAAGTCTGGAGTGATTCGCTTTTCATATTTTCTTTTTTTTTTTTGAGACGGAGTTTCACTCATGTTACCCAGGCTGGAGTGCAATGGCGCGATCTCGGCTCACCGCAACCTCTGCCTCCTGGGTTCAGGCAGTTCTCCTGCCTCAGCCTCCTGAGTAGCTGGGATTACAGGCACGCGCCACCATGCCCAGCTAATGTTTTGTATTTTTAGTAGAGACGGGGTTTCACCATGTTGACCAGGATGGTCTCGATCTCTTGACCTCGTGATCCACCCGCCTTGGCCTCCCAAAGTGCTGGGATTACAGGCTTGAGCCACTGCGCCCGGCCTCGCTTTTCATATTTTCTGTTTGGTGTCTTTTATCCTCCCTGTGAGAGGAAGAGAGAATGGAAGGACAATCAATTCCTGCTCTTTTTTTTTTTTTTTTTTTTTTTTTTTAG